CTTGTTACTACTAGTAAGGCACTTGTTACTAGTAGCGATGCACTTGTTACTGTCAACAATATTAGTCACATCAGGTGACTGGAAAACTGTTAATCTGCAAGGGGGGGCCCGATGCGACGGGGTCACATCAGGGTCACATCAGGTTCCTGTTTACAAGGCGCTTTAGTGTTTGAAAAATGTGTTGGTTTTATACGAAATTGTTCCATTTCCTTTGCGGAAGCAGCAGCAGTAGGCATTTGCACCAGCAGCACACCAGCAGCAGCAGAAGCAGCTACCACCACCACCAACACAACAACAACAACAACAACAACAACACCAACAGCAACAGCAACAGCAACAGCAACCAGCAACCAGCAACCAGCAACCAGCACCAGCACCAGCAGCAGCAGCAGCAACAGCAACAGCAACAGCAACAGCAACAGCAACAGCAATAGCAATAGCAATAGCAATAGCAATAGCAGCAGCACACCAGCAGGAGCTAACAAGCAGCAGCAGCAGCAGCAGCAGCAGCAGCAGCAGCTAACAAGCAGCAGCAGCAGCAGCTAACAAGCAGCAGCAGCAGCAGCAGCTAACCAGCAGCAGCAGCAGCAGCAGCAGCTAACAAGCACCCTTCAGCGGCACCAGCACCCACGCTCGAAAACGCACACACGCAGCTCCTTGAAGTAAGAACCCTAATAGCTCACGCTGTCTGTTGAAAAAACACGATGCAATGATGCAACAAGGTTGTTGAATCTATCACACAAGCAAGCAACGCATGGGCACAGCACATTAACATCAGTTCGTAGAACAAATAGAACAACAACAAACATCCATAGAAAAGCCAATCCCCAAGGGCACACCATTTTGATATGACTTTCCTCCAGTTGATACGACTTAAAGCGAGGCCCCAGTAGCATTGAAAGAAAGGTTAGCTAGATCATGTGCATGTCACATGTTCTCAAAACAGCATGGAATCATGAAACCGATGCGACTTCCCGAAGACCTTTCGACGCAAGTAACGGCAACATTTAGTGCAAACCGATGCGACTAATCTATCTGAGAGTACTACTAGCTTCTTGTTACTGGCTTCTCTCCCAAGCACCTCATCCATGAAAATGATGGTGGGTGCGTGTTCGCGAGCCATGACGAACAGCTCTCGCACCATGCGGCTTCCTGCGACGGTTTTCAGAACAATACGTTAAAAGCTTTGAATTATCAATGTGCCTACCATTCACGTCAACTGCTTCGGGAGAACCGGGAAATACCGGGAATATGTTCGGGAGTTGTTTGTATCTGCCACCGACCTGCATATCAAAAAGTCAAGTGTTTTGCCAGAGTGGAAGGTCCATAATTGATATCAACATGTCTTGATGGAGGAAACTTCTGAACACAATAATGGTGGTGCAAAGATTTGATTCAGCGACTGGAGGAAGGACATCGGCAACCCTGACCTTCACCGATGTACTTCTGGACGAGCTCTCCGCCAGACACGCGGATGAAACCTGATATACAATCTTGGAGTGCCAACTGCTCAAAGTGTTTCAGACCATCAACCCAGTGGGACACATGACGCTATGCCCGCTCTCAGGCGCACGCAACAATTGGTGTGGTGTGCCACCGCGCGTGCCAGCAAAGTCTTGCCAGTGCCAGGAGGCCCGTACAGAAGCACTCCCTGAAAGGTGTGCAGTGGCAATAAATGCATGCTCTATATAAATGAGGTACTTGAACAAACTTTAGCTAAACAGTCTAAACATGTGCCTTGGGCTGTGAAATGCCAAGAGATTCAAAGATCTCAGGATGTTTGATGGGTAGCTCAATGACCTCTTTGATTTCCTGGCACAAAAGGCGCACAGGTGGATTGGTCTGGGTTTCTCGTGGTGTAACGGTCTTCAGGTGGAATGCAAGGTCTAAGGTTTGCGGCACTCCTTGATCTGCTTATCTACGCCACCAATCATCTCATAGGTGCTGTCCGGTGTCTTCTCCACCTTCATCAGCTGCACCAAGGGGTCCACCTGCAAACCGTCTCAGGTTGGACCTCTTCAAGGGCATCACCCCAATCCCATTCAGGCCAGCCTTGCTCGGCAGGATCTTGTGCAAGACATAGCTGTCACTAGTCAGGGCGATGCGGGTGTTGGGCTTACAGTCCTGCAAGAAGGCGGCTTGGGACGTCAGAGCTGCAAATACCTCTGGAGTTTTGCACTATAACTGTGACTATGAAAAGACAGCATGGACTTGCAGTGTCCTCGATTTTGATGTCTTTGTCGATGTCCACTACGTACTTTCCCTCCTGGTCTTTTTGGACCACAACACCAGTCAAAAGGCTAAAGCAAATACAGTATTCTTCAAGAGTCTTGCATGCCCCAGAGCCAAATCAAAACAACCAGCCTGCCCCACTTTGACCAAAACCTTCTTCGTGCCTCAGACAATTGAAGCCAAGTCCCTGGAGCTGACGGTGCCTGTTGCTCGATCACTTGAAGCCAAGGTGCCCATGGCTTTGATGACCTCTCCACAATTGGAGGCTGGTTCTAGAAGCAGCTGGAGCTCCTCTCCTGTGCGAAACACTTGGAGAGTCAGCCTGACAATCCTGACCAACTGGGTGAAACATGGTGAAACTAAACTGAGACTTCGACTCAGCTGCCGCACTTTGCTGTTCAGCTCGTTTCTTTGAGCTTCCAGGCGCCGCAAATTGTTCTTTCCTTAAGAAGCCCGCAGGACTGAGGGAAACTCTGGCATGTCTTCAGACTATGCAGCGTCCCCAGCACCGCTCACTACAGAGCTTCAGTTGATTGTACAGCCTCTAGGCCAAAGATGGCCAAAGGGATTAGTGAGAACTGCTTTCGAGGATGCGAGGATGCCGGAGAGGTTACTTCTCACAAGTACAAGGGTCGTTCCTTGATGATCGAGCTGAGCTCCTGAATTTTCGTGTCCTTGGAGCAAAACAACTTTCAGTAGGTTTTCCCCGTTGGAGTCTCACGTGTTTCCCTCAACTGGTCTGACTCGGTCTCATGAAATCCATTCAACTAAGCAACATAGTAGCTCTGAATGCCCACACTGCCAGGTGGTGCCACCGTCATGGCGACTATTCTCTGCCAGTCGAGAGGGTGGCAATAGGTAACCCTTGAGCCATTGCCACCGGCCGAGCGCATGTCTTTATTGAGATCTGATCACATCTGAGTAGACATCGAGAATTCAGGTTGTCAAGCGTCATGGCAAAGGTATGTAAACATGTTCAGAAGGAACTTGGCCAACTCCGCAAGGAGCCACATAGCTGAGGGCTGTACATTTGCTTTGCATATGGGCTACTTTTCTGAATCCCCTTCACCTCAAGACAAAAGCCACAACCCTTGCTCACTCGCTGGAGACCCTAGCGCAAGTGCCTTCTCAACTAACTCAACTTTCTCAGGAGTGTCCATGATGTCAGCCTGGTGCGGGCGCTCAGTTGTTCCAAAAACGGTGGTGTGCTCAGTTGTTCCAAAATTCCTAAAGGACTGCCCCTGATGGTTTCCCTCTGAGAGTGCAGCCTGGATCTGCCCAGACCTGAAATCAACATCAGCCGATGGTGCCACAAGCAGCCGATGGTGCAGCTCATCATGTTTCTCATCAACCATTGACGGCTTCATTGTGAAACATGGACAAAATCACACGATCAATTTCAGCTTCAGTTGCTTCTGCAGGGCAAAGAACTCGTTCAAGAAGGCTTCATCATGGGCTCCAGGGTCGTACCTGACTTAAACATCTGGCTATTTGGCCATGAGAGTACATCTTCCAAGCCTCTGAACTTGCTTCATCTGACAGAACACCTCCCAAGCCAACATGAACTGACAAATGGTTTCCAGAGAATAAACCAATGCACTGCATACTACTGTAAGCACCAAGATGCTTTTTGCCGTTGCTAGAATCAACGCCATCTTTGTGCTCTTACTGATAGGTTTGGTGGTGCCATTCAGCTCAGAGGGCAATTGGCCTCCCACTGCTTCTTCTCAGTGAAGCCAGCTTTCTGGAAGTCTTTCACTTGCCTTCACGAACATGTCTTACCATCTCCCTCTAACTGCCATTTTCTGCTGAAGCACCATGGTGAAGCCAAGGAGCTGTACAAGCGCTTGCCTGCATCAAAATGAAGACTCTAGCAACCCAAACCCGTTTCCTTCGTTACAACCTCTTACCCTCAACTGCTTGGACATCTGGCCAAACATGAACAAGTCTATATAAACACTTCACACAAGCCAAGCTGGCACGATGCACACAATCGCGTATTAATATAATCCTCCAAGGAGCTTTTCAGGCGACCAGGGCGCCATGCCACCATAGCCCTGCACAAAGTGTCATGGCACATGCATCAACAAATGCACAGCCCAAAATCTGAACGTTTTCACAAATGCGCAAACAGGTCTGAGCGAGCCATCCTTGGCGCTGCCCTTCCCCGCGGGCACAATGGCTCCAGGCTTCATGGCGGCCATAGCTGCCATCATTGACGCCATGTCCTCGGGCGATGGCAATCATCCCACACCACTAAAGTGGTCCAGGAGTCCTTAAGAGTCGTTGCTATTAGGTAAGAGGCCATCGCTTTTAGGATGGAGGCCATCGCTACTAGGTAGGAGGTCATCGCTATTGGCGGAGTCTTCAACTTCTGGAAGCCAAAGACTGAGCCATCGACCATGGTGCTAAAACTGTGCAGCCAACAGCAGCGCTGCAGAGGATTGAGCCGGTCCCGTAAGCAAGCTTGTGCCACCTTCAATGGCTGCAGTCCGAGAAATTTAGCTGACACTAATCCATGAAGAATAGAGAGAAAAGAAATCATGCATATATATATATAATTTATCGTTTGTCAGAGGCTTGTCAACATAAAAAAAAATAGGTCATAAATCCTACACTAACCTCACCAACCTCGTAATTCACGGTCTCCCCTAATTTCTTGAGTTTCGACATGTTCAAACCCACATTGACCCCAGTGATCTACATATCAAGCGAACCACTGCGCACATCCTTCCATGAAGCTCACAGCCCCACGGCTCTGACTTTTCCGCGGCTCCATGTCCATAGGCCGCTGCTGCACAGGAGTGAATGATGCTCTGCACTGAAGCTTCAAGTTCCTTCGGATTCCTTCGGATCTCAGCATTGAAAAACACCTCTGTGGAGGCGAACACGGAAGAGGAGGAGGCGTCAGTTCTTCGAAGCAAATGCGAGCTGGTCGTCTCTGCCAGTAGAGACGGCATGGGTCCTTGTGGCTAGGAGAGCTGAGAAAAGCTAAGGCGTGGCCACTACTGTTGATACATCAATCCAGGCCTAAACACATTTAGAAAAGCACAAAACTCTAGCCTGACTGGCCTTACGTTGTAGCAACATGTGAGAACATCAAATCAAGTGGTCTGGAGAATTTCACCCAGAGCTAGGCAGCCAAACCTCCATGTTCCAGGTCGATGATGACGGTCAGTTCTTCATCCAAGTCGGTCCTGTCGGCTGGGAAAGGCCGCCGCGAACCACTTTACCTTTTTTAACACTTCGTCGCTTCCAAGCGCTTCGCTGCGCTTCGCTGCGGGCCGAGCGGCGCCAAAGAGCAAGGTCAGATTCACCCGAGGCATCGATGGGTCCTTGGGTTCTACGGAATTACGGAGAGCAATGAGAAGACCGAGAGCAACACGGCGCAGCGAGGAGAAGTGGCGAGCAAGCGCCCATTCGAGCTCCAGGCCGGAAAAACAAAAGGCTCAGACGCATGGAAACGATCAGAGACCTGAGAACAGCTGCAATCAAGCGCTCGTCAAATGCTCCATGCAGATAGACAGAGAGAGAGAGAGAGAGAGCGCTTGAGAGCGAGAGCGAGAGCGCGGGGGGGTAGAGGTTGATCTTTCCTTGCCTGCCCGGTCTCTCTTTCTTTCTCTAGCGGCTAGCGTCAGTTCCACATTAGGCAATGGCAAAGATGCATGCACGGTTCTGCTTGTAGGTAATCTTGTCGACTCCACCCTTGAGGAGGGCCTAGGATTCATGAGAGCCATATGTACTCTTACTCCGAAGACTCAACTGCATCGCTTCCAAGTTTCCTGCCTTATGCCAGGCCTCATGCTCACCTGAGGTGCTGGCAATGGTAGGTCAGCACATGCCCGGAATATGACTCAGTCCGCAGCTGCCGGCTGGAACCTGACAGGGCAACTATGGGAAACTGATACCTTCAAACAAGATGGACACGTTGATGTCAGGCGTACCCGATTGATGTCAGCTGTCCAGGAGCCACGACTGGGAACAGACCTGGCAAGAGCAATAGAGTGGGAGACAGAAAGGCACGATGCAACCCAATGCCCAAAAGCCAAGCAACAACAGAGAACCAGGCACAAAAGGATACGAAAGGACAAAACGGGGGGTGGGAGAGGGAGGGAGTTCACCAAAGCCTGAAGATCTCGAGCCCACCACCTGCATTCCACATTTCTGCATTCTGCAAGGTCCAGTGTCGCTCTCATTGCGGCAAATGATGACTGCGGTGTCCAGCCTTTCTTGCAGGCACTGTCTGGAGTCAGCCATATGTTGACGTTCACTGCTGCATCCTTAAGGCGTGGTGTGGTGCGTCTTCCTCGAAAAGGCGAACGTCGACCCTTCGCCCGTGAATCGCGTGGATTCCAAGGAGCATCCGCATGAATTCCAATTCCAGAAGACCTGACTCGCTCCATCTCGCTCCACTAAATTCTTCAATCCATGAGTGCACTCAGAGGCCAATGCCCACAGGGAAGATATTTGAAGATCCACCACCTTGGATCATTGGATCGGAGTTCAGTGGTGACAGTGTTCCCTTGGAAAAGCTATGACATACTATGACAAGCATAAGGGACTTGGAAAAGGACCTTGTGAGATGGTGTTTGCGAAAGATATTCGGCCTGGGCACGCGGAAAAGAACCCATTTATCGCGCAATCATGTTGCAAGTCTGGAGCCTCCATTCGTCGAGGTGATGCAAAACAACAACTTTGGATGTGCTCACCACATCATGACATAAGATGCCCCTTTATCCAAGCACGCAAATGTACACGGATGCGCGGGAGGCGCACTAGCCAATGAACGGACAAAGGCACGGACGTGCGTAATTACAGACGGACGTGCTGAAGAACGTGAAAGCTGCCCTCGATTGTTCGCACGGTTGTCTGTGCAAGATTCAACTCCACGGACTGCGCAGTGGACTGCGCACACGTACGTGCATGTATTCCGTGCCCATGTTCACATCCATGTACACATGTTCTGATGTTTATAAGCGCTAAATCCTGGTTTATGTTGTCTATGCATGTAATTCAGCAAGGATGTACTGGTTTAAGGCCTTGAAAGAAGGTCTTTAAAATGAACATGCAAACATGTTCATCTTCTAATGGCCACAGTCTGGCCATAGGTTGTATCCACACTGCCTGTCTAAGAATGGCAACTCTCTCAGCTTGCGAGCCGTCTGTGATTCTGACACTCTTGACAGGACCTTTTGAACGTTTTGAGCAAAAGAATGCTCGGTTTACCCCGGCCAACAAAATGCACATTCATAGATGCTTGGTAGACCAACGTACGTCCGCACGCGCAATCCCACGTACGCCCGCATGTGCGCCGGCATGTTCCCACGCCTGCCCACCTGCGTGCCAGAACGCACGCTTACACGGACCATATGTCATACACATGTTCATTTCAGCTCGCTCACCCCAGGAGCAAAGGGCATCGCTACTAGGAGCAAGGACGCTACTAGTTGGCTTTCAGCTTTCTCATGGGCAAAGAACCAGCAGAACGACTGTGAGAAGCACTGGGTCATGGGCAAATGCGCTTCCAAGCTCTCTGCTGCTCGGCGAATGATCGGATGGACCTCCCGGCGCCCAAAATCAGCCCCGATGTCCAAAGCGCAGCGTTCTTGGGCCACGGCGCAGCCATCGGATGGAAAGGCCCCCAAGTAGCCCGGCCGCAGCGAACGAAAGCAAGGCGCCTCTTGACTCTTCAGGCTCACGGAGTGGCAGATTGTGCTACCTCTGGCAAGCAACTGGGCTCTGAGGCCTCTGTAGAATATCTCCACCTTGGGTGCCGACTGGGTTTTTGGGGGTGCCGTGGCAAGGGGCCATCGCTTCGATGACTGGGCCACAAACAGTTCTGCAAGAGCGGAACCGCTAAAAAAGTCGTCAAGCAGAAAGAGGCCCTTCGTAGCAAACTCCTGGAACAACAAAGCCAGGCTGCGGGCACTTCAGAAGCTGAAACAAAAACGCCTGTGCAAATAAATCCCACGGCTGCTCGTTCAAAGGATCCTGGTCATGGGGTGACATTGAGCTGAAGAACAGCAGGGTATGCTGGAGAGCTGGGGCCTCCCATTCCCAGCCCTCACTGATCTGGTATGGGCAAGCCTCCGGCCGCTGACACGGGATCACAGCCAAAGCATCTCATGTGCCTGAGGTGTCCACATCGGTCAAGCAATCCTTGGTGGAAACTGTCATGAGCCCAGCATGTCCACTTCGGAGCGAGTGCGCGTCTTGTTTTTTATACAAATTCGCGTCGCCCACAGCAGTGTCATTCGGAGAGCTGAGATGGATTTTCTCTGAGCAGCAGTGCTTTATTGTTGTGCGTCATGGGGCCATCTTGGCTCTTCTTGGACTGGGGGTTGGGTCCAAAAAGCGCCATGACACGGGGGAGCGAGCAGCGATCAACAGGGAAAAGAAATAAAGAACAGCACAAACACTGGCCACCTTCCGGCGTTTGCATGCTCCTAGTAGCGTCCTTGCTCCCAGTAGCGATGCCAGGAGCGTCCTTGCTCCTAGTAGTAAAGCCAGGAGCTCCTAGTAGCGATGCCAGGAACCCCTAGTAGCGTCCTTGCTCCTAGTAGTAAGGCCAGGAGCCCCTAGTAGCGTCCTTGCTCCTAGTAGCGATGCCAGGAGCCCCTAGTAGCGTCCTTGCTCCTAGCAGTAAGGCCAGGAGCCCCTAGTAGCGTCCTTGCTACTAGTAGCAATGCCCTTTGCTCCTAGCTTCCTTTTGGCCGCCTTGCGGCGTTTGCATGCTTTCGCCAAGAATCATACTGGCCTTCCTGCAGCAGTTGCTTGGTGCTACTGGCGAGCTCGTTGACCCGAGCCTTGGCGCTGGGTGCTGGCGACATTGGGCCCACTAAACAAGACCTGGGCCGTTGAGGGCCCAACCCACCAAAGCTCACCTCCAAAAAAGCAGCTGGCAGGCTGGAACCCCCACAAAGAACGACCAGAGTCTGCCTGCATCCTCCAGCTCCATCTGAGAAAGCACCTATCACTGGGCGGCTATAGCAAATAGCTTTGGGCAAGCGTTTTGAGGAAAAACCACCGTGTCTGCGCCTGTCAATCGAAAAGTCCGCATGTTTTTTGCAGAAAGCACTTCTCACATTGACATACATTGACAGTTCAAGGCACCGAGCGCAATGCTGACATCGCTTTCTGACCTAGGCTCCACAGCATTGCTTTAAAAAACAATGCTGAGAATAGAGCATAGAGCCAGACCTAGCGCATTGTCAAGTCTGCCATGTGCAACCTCAAATACATCAAAAGGCAGAATTTCTGCACAAGCTACAGTATTTCCAAAGACATTCCCGCTCAGGAAGTGGCTGCCCGTTCCAAAAGCATCGTGTCGTGACCTCAGCGAGCTCTCCAATGATCGCGGCCTCTGACGTTACAGTTGCTGAGTACTCAGCGTATACGGAAAGGTGACACCAGAAGCTCCTCCGAAAGACATTGACCATGCGGTACGGTCTTCTGGTCTCATGACAGCATGAGAAATGCTAAAAAACATTGGCATGCTCGATGCACGAATGCTCCTCTTTGGCTTTAGGTGTCGAGGCCTCACAAACATATGGAGTAGGGAGGAACAAAAAGTCCAAAAAACTGACAGGAACTACAATCCGGCCAAGACCATGGCTATCGTATGAAAGACTTGGAAGGCATCGACATAACGCTTGAGCCTTGGGCGATCACTATGGTCAGTCTACCGCAAGACGGGCACAAAAGAGCAATCAAAGGTCCCAACCGAAGCAGAACCTCTGCCTGTCCGACATGCAAATGCAAGATCTACATTGCAAGGCATGTCCTTCATCAAATCAGCCACCTTCACACGACTTTTTGATGGGAAAAGTTGTGACGTATGCTCGAGGGTGAAAGCTAGCCGGCCTAACTCAACTCAGACCACCACGCGACCAAGTTCTTCCAAGTCGTGCTCTGCCAGGGAGAGTGCGTTCTGGTCCCCAGTGGCACGAGCATGTTCAAATCGACGCATGGCATCCACAAGCTGCTTGCTTCGGTCGTCCAACTCTTCATAGCGAGGTTGCTGCCCATCGTCACCAGTGACCATCTGCCGGAACTTGTCTAAGCGATCATTGATGGACATGGGCTCCGGAATCGTGGACTCAATCACACGTCCCTGCGCATCTCGTTGCATTTCACTCACCACACCGAGCTGGTCCCACAACTTGCTTCTCTCACGCTTGGTCAACGTCAGGGAAAGCTCACCTGCATCGAGTGACCAAATGATGTCATCCCCTTTGATGGGATGAAACAGTTGCCGGTCAAAAATGAGGACATCTCGAACTTGCACGCATAGACTTTCTCCTCCATTGGACGTCTGTACCCTGATATCCTTGGCAACAATTCCAGGCGGGAGAGACCACCAGCAGTACAGCTCTCCAGCTGCCTGTTCAAATCGAGTTGGTTCTCCTCTCCGCGTATTTTTGAGTCTGCAGAGCTCTTGCAAGGTGCGGCTTTCAGCCCCCTTGGCATCTTCCTCTTCTTCATGAATGATCTGTTGAAGTCGACTTCGCCGTTCGCTTGAGCTCTTGGGTTTGAAGTTGATAAACAACTCATCAATTTCTTTCTTGTCTTCGCTGGAGAGGATCTCTTTGTCAGCCGACACTTTCTTCGGCGCAGTGAGAACCAAGGATGGCAAGTCGTCATCCTTCAAAGCTTTTGGTTCTTCAGCTTTGGCGGATTGCAGCATTTTCATTGGATTCTCTTTGCCTAGGGCTTCATCTTCAAGGGCCCTCTCCCTGTACTCATTCTTCACCAGCTCATACTCGGCCATTTCCTTTTTCTGAGACAGTGCCTGTTGCTTCTTGTTCGCACGAAGCTCCTTGAAGAAATTGTCCATGAGATCCAGCTGCTCCTGAGGCAACCCCATTTTGTGGTATGGAAGCTCTGAGATTGGCAAACGTTCGCCGGAGCTCTCTCTCATCTGGCTGTATCCTTCAAAAGCTTGGAAGCCATTCTTGTTGTTGATGTCCTTAGCATCAAAGGCACGCGGGATAGAGCTCAAGTCAGCATCTCCGCGAAGTTTTGTGGCAGCCTCTGCTGGCTTCTCTCTTGAGGCCCTTGTCTTGCTATGCAACTGCCTTTGCTCTGCTTCAACTAGCTGATCGATGTCTTGCAAGAGCCGCTTCGCTTCAAAATGTCCAGGGTCTATGTCCAAACAGCGTTGGACCATTGCCATGGCATCCTGATACCTTTTTAGACCACGCAAAGCCACTGCTGCTCGCAGCAGCGCCTTGTCATGTGTTGGCTTGTGGGCAAGGGCTGCCTCGCAATCCAGCAAGGCCTCCTCCCACCGCTCCAAGCGAATTCGAGCCTCAGCACGATTGGCATAGAGAGTTGCCTTGATGGGGCTGTCCTCATTGGCATACTTCTCCAAGGTGCTGAGGGCCCGAGACCAGTTCCCAACAGCCTCCTTGTAGGAGCGAGCACTGAAAAAGGCATTGCCCTGCTCTTTCAAGGCCAAGGCTGCCGCTTCCGCAGCGCTCTCCAAAGAATATGAAAGATCAACGGCAGGGATTGGCCCCTGTCCCGTAAACTTTTTCCAGCCTGATTTGGGTGGAAGAGTTTCTTCAGATTGCACCGCATACATTGGCTTCCTGTCCTGGCCCAAGATCCACCCAAAGGAAGTGAGTCCTGTCCTTTGGCTTTTGTGGGGTTCTCGAGATAGCATACAATGCCGGTCATTCTCAAAGACCTCGGCATCGTGCCAGGATCTTCCGGTTGGGACATACAGTCCATTCACATCCTCAGAGCCACCGCCAGTGACAAGGACAGCCGCGCACTGTCCGCCCGGAGCCATGGCAACCCCGTTCCGCCGGTTCGACGGGCTAACATCACTACACACCTCATTGATTTGAGAAGGAGTATGCATATACATATATATATATATCAACATCCAAGCACATCACAAAGCCATTGACGATGATAAATACTGCAACAAGATGCAAAACTTGGCCTGAGTCTGGCCCCCTTCTTCTTTTTCTTTTTCTTTTTCTTTTTCTTCTTCTTCTTCTTCTTCTTCTTCTTCTTCGTCTTCTTCTTCGTCTTCTTCTTCTTCTCCTTCTTCTTCAACAGCTCCTCTCAAGATATTTCTGCCTTCATCCGCAGAAGGGCGATGTCACCTGCATGGCCCAAAGCGCACCCAAACACTCGCACAACCAAAAAGTGGTCAGGATTGCATGGCAAGTCTATACAACCCGCAAGTCCATACATGTTGGTCAACCAAAATCAGGTGATGCAAGAACCATGATCAAACACTGTCGACGTGGTTTGGCCAACTTTTGGGCCTTTCTTTTGCAAAATCCGCAGGCTTCGCTGCAAGCACCGGCCACAGTTGCCACGCGATGCGCCTGGGCATGACCAGCGCCCCACTGGCTCACTGGCTGATGGATTGGAAGCACTCTACCCTCAAAACCCTAAGAAGTAAAGTCAACATCGGGCACCAAAACCATATCAAATCCTGCCTCAACCTGCCCCTCTTGCCCTCACCCCCACCTTGAAGCAACTAGAAAACCATAGAAAGCAAACGTCCAAGTCTCCAGACCCAGCACATACCAAAGACCAGCTCGCAGCAACTTGGCGTCGTTGGAGCGGACCCGCTCACAACATGCTTGTCGCTTCAGGGCCTCGAAACGACGGCTTCGCAGCTCCGGCATCCGACGGGACCCGCGTCCCGTGTCATCTTGGCTGCGACCTGCGTGGCCTTCCGGGCAGCTCGCACAGGGTTGCTCCGAACGTGCGCCTCGTTGCGGAGATGACATGCTTTTCGGAAAGAAGAGATAAGAAGAAAACAAAGAGGCAAAAATGAAGGCAACAGCTTCAAGAGCCCCTTTTAACATGGCCTTCATAAACTTCATAAAGGTGTATACGGTATATATCTATATATACCTTACTGAAGGGGACCCTAACCCTACAGTACTATACCTTACCTTCCTTTTTGCCTCTCTTTCTTCTTTCGTACCATCCTTTCTCCAGGCACTGTACTCTGAGGGTGCCACAGCCCAGGCCTTCGAATGGAGCTTGCGAACTGCCGCCTTTCAGAATTCACTGTCGCCCAATTCTAATAAAGCGCTTTTGGGTCGCAGAGCCACGTGGGTTTGACCGTCCAGTGCGATTCTTTCGCAAAGCTGCAGGGTGTCACCTAGCATGTTTTCTTTCACAGCTGTGCGAAGCAGGTTCCAAGCAGGTCAACGCTAAAAGTATAAGGTGGCGGATCATACACCACGTGGAGGCATCCAGTCTCTTTGAGAAGGAATGCCTCCAAAAAAGAACATCGGAGTCGCCTGTCTGCAGCAAGACTGGCCACAGCAGGCACTAATGCAAGCAGCAACAGCCGGCCGAGCAAAAGTGAAATTGATCTGACTTAGACCTGATGAGAACGCACCGGCTGCTGCATTAATCATGAACTACTGGAGGGTTGCGTCGAGATTGTTGCGTAACTGAAAAGGTTGGTTGCCACTCAAACCTCCAACTCTCCAAGAAACGCACTCAGCATCGCCGCTGAGCCTTTGCCAGTCTTTGGGACTCGGACAAATCCACTCTGGCAGGTATGGTCAAGGTGGAAAACTTCGTGGAGCACATCTCAGCGGCACGGACCATGGATGGTGGGTACCTGGCGACCATGGACGGCGAGGACGTCACTGTTGAGCTCCTTGCGGCCGACTGCTAGTCACTTAGTCCTTGCTTTTGACGGTTTATGGACAACCTTAGCTGTTCCACTTGCAATACTTAGTTAGCTGTACGAGGGCATAACTCGGTCAAACATCCGCAAACACCATGGCCTTATGATGCCTTCTGTCAATACATTTGAGCAGAACATGCCAGGGAGACCTCCCATTTGCAAAGCAGCCCAGCTCTGTCGCAGGTTCACTCCAACAAAGTCTGGACACACCTGCGCAGTGTCATCCACTGTTCCGTTTCGTGTCTTTTCGATCTTCCCCACCTTCCACAGGTGCCGGAACTGACCAAGATCCAGTGCTAGGTGCCTCCGGAGCATACAACTTGCCAGTGTCATCTCCACTCTGAGGCTGTGGAAAGGTGTCCGGTCTCATACTGAGCTTTTCCACGTCCTTTCCTTTTGCTCACCCACTAGGCTGGCAGGTGCAGGCCACCTTGAAGTGTCCACCAACAGTGTGCCGTCGAGGATGAACTGCTCCTGGCAAAAAGGTCAAAGCCATCTCTTCGTTGGAGTCGCTTGTCTCTTCAGTTGGTTGACGGAGCTGCCATGTGTCAAACAGTGTCTCTGCCACAAAGGAAATGAACAAGAGTTTGTGCAATGTCTAAACTTTCCCGCACTACTTACACCACCAGGACAAAACCAAAGTTTCTTCAAGTAGCTCCTGGAAAGGAGGGAGTTTGCACCCTACAATCACTGCTCTGGGGCTCGCTGAGCATCCTCGGAGCACAAAAAAGGCCAGGGCCAGGGCCATTCCCTTCTACTGGCCACGGATTCTTTTTCCATCATCCAGGTTTCAATCTGTGCTTCTGTCTCACATGTTGGATCTTGTCATATCTCGTCAACCCCTTCAGCAACGCAGCCGGGTTGCATCTGCCTCCTCGAGGTCGCAGAGTCCTGCACACATTGTGAGACCAATCTCAGCCTTGACTGTGCCATCTTTCCCTTGGCTCCTTCTGCGGCCGGGGAGGTGTGGTGATGATCAGAATCTTCTTGCCTGTCGTCCACAGGGTGGTCACGAGGAAGGATCAAGTTGTAAAACCTCTCTGCAAACAGCCATCCATTTTGAAGCCCAGCAGCAAGGAGTCTTTTTCGGGGTCGCTGGACGTCGACCTCAGTGGAAATGCGTCCAAAAAAGTGGGGATTGAAATGAAATAGCCCCTAGTAGCGTTCTTGCTCCTAGTAGCGAATGTACAACTGTGCAACGGCACGCATACCATAGATCTTGCACCGCATTGGCTTGCATGCACTTCTCTACTTGCTGTGGGCATGGTCGTGAGATCTCGCAAGCACCTTTCCAGCGAATGAGTTCTGTGGGGCGCTTCATTCTTTAGACTTTAGTTGAGCAACTCAGCTTCTCAAGAAGTTCTGAAGCATCACGGTGAAGCTTGTCAGCACTGTGTTCTTTTTGTTCCTGCACGGGTTTGACTGATGCATGCACTTCAGACGAGTGCTTTCTTCCTTCCGTTTCTCTCTGCAAGTCCTGAGCTTTTTCGGGAGACTCATTCCAGGAATCCTGAATGTTGTTCAGAAGGGCGTTCTCCAGGGCCAAGCTCCTGAAGCTGTGTTGGGAGAGTCTTAGACTCTTTGGACCTATCAAACAGCATGTTGCCCGGGCACACACTTAGTCAGTGATCGAAAGAAAACTCTCTCGATCAGCCCTATGATTCTCCTCTTCTCTATTTGAAGCTCTTCTACCTGGATGGGAATCGGATCTGACCCCCGACTTTTCTGATGAGGGCATGTTGGAGCAAAAGAGCTATTGAGGGGACATGTTGAAAACATCGTGATGAAACCTGATGAAACTCACGCAGGAGAAAGCTTGACTACTGTGATCCAGGGATTGAACTGCACATCTTCGTCAAGTCACCAAGTGTCTGAGCTGGTCCAGCTCATGTTCCATGGAGGACAGGCAATGCTCCGCAGATAGGGCCCTGTGCTTCATTGCCTCGAATGTGGCAGCATGATGTGGAAACACCTCACCTCCCAACCTTCTTTTCTTGGGTGCTTAGCACGGAAAGAATAATGAATTTGTGTGAAGAGACCCCTGACAAATCCATAGCCGGGGCATCATCTCTTCATTCCCCAACTCCTCCTTTCAACTCTCCTACAACCCTAATTCCCCAACTCCTCCTTTCAACTCTCCTACAACCCTAGATCACCAAAGAAACAGGCAGTTGTTTATGCAACTTCCCCGGCCTTGCATTGAACTTCGGCAGCTAGGGCACGCTGGCCTTTCACCTATGATCAGGGACCCAGGCTGAACCAGGTCATGGTGGACGTGTTGTCTCTTCGAAACTGCTCTTTCGCCGGCCTCCAACTGCATGGACTGCAAAAACACCAGCTTCGCTAGCTTAACCATTTCGTCGGCCTGTCCAGGGTCCAGGGTTCTAGGATGCTTTCCAGTCATCTAAGCAAACATCCATCAAACCAATTCACTCAGTGTGGCCAACTAAGCTGGCATTGCATATGATGTGCATCCTAGATCCCATTGTAGGTCTCCAAATAGTGCAAGCACCCTAAAAGGAATGCTTCATCTAGTGCAGTTGGGTACTTTGATTGATGTACCCGTTTGCGACCGTACAACTACTCGTTACACGCTAAGACTTAAGAAAAGAGTAAATCAGATCGTCCCAAGGAAGCAAGCTATTTTGACTGAACCCCGTCCTGGGTACAACGCCTCGATGCCTCTTGCAGAATTGAAAGCATCCCAGAGTTTTGCTCTGCCTCGCGGAACACAAAACTCGTCCAAGAGCAGGTCTACTCCTTTCTGGCCGATGCCAAAGAAACCTTTGATGTGTAGAAGTTGGGAAACGACAGTAAGGCTGCGGCTGGCTCCCATATCTCACTTCCACTTGCTTCAACCTCATCTTCAGCAGTCTTGCCACCGTCTAGTTGGCCAATCACGCCTGCCAGCTCTGGCGTGAGGACGTGAATGAATCGTTAAAGATTGGTTCGGGCTGTTGTGTACAAACCCCACTCATCCGATACGGAGGTGGCACTGCCTTGCGGAAGATCACCCATCAGCTTGTCCAAGGACGATTTGCACATCTGAGACAATCTCCTCCTAAACAAGGAAGGAGTCGTTTCAAGGTTCCCAAGCGCAGACTGGAAAAGCAAGGCGCCCAACTTGGCACCTGAGGCCTTGCCATGGATCTAAAAGACTCCGAACAATCTGCGGTCCGCACCTTGACTCTTTGTCTTCCTCATTTGTAGCAATGGATACCTGCAACTGATCATGAGAATCATCACCAGCACTGCCGCGTTCTCATCATGTTGTCTGACTGACTGAGTTTTGTGTCGCACAACGCTCTAAGGCAAAGGCCAATTGCATCAACTCGTCCATCCGTGCCAGGAGGGCATCCACCTGCTCATTGAAGTGGCAGAAGCTGCATCTACCCCAAAACACCATCCTCAGCGTCTTCAACCCCTCGTCCCCGCCACTCGTGGCCTGCATTTCCTCTCCTTCACTTTCATCTTCGCTGTTGGCCGCAGCTCGACTCGCTGAAATCCACTCTGCCTGCAGCCAGACACAGCAAGCTGCTGGTATTTTTTGCAATCCTTACTTGCTAAACGGCCCGTACTTTGACCACCTTTCGATGTGAAGTCTTGGAACGTTTGGGGTCCGCTGCCTCAGTGGCAATAGTGGACGGCTCACCCATGCTGCATTTCTCGACTTTCTCCGCGTCCATGGGCACGCAGGCATGAGGGACTTCAAGTCTAAACAAATGAACCTTGAAATTTAACATGTTGCAAGTAAAGTCTGACGCAAAGAGGAACACAGTCCGCTGCCTGGTCCCCATAACTATTTAAATAGGAAGAATCCTTCTGCAATAGAAGATGTGAATGTACATCTCAGTCATTCAATTTGAGAAAATGTCCCCGTTACCTCCGAGGTCGCTTGACGACCTTCCTTTGTTCTGGGCCAGCAAGGGATGTGATGTTTGAATGTAACGTCCTTCAAGATGCATCACCACTCCGTGCCGGCAGCTCGCCAATCAGACCTAGAACCATGCCAACTATGCTGTGCTCAGACCTTTTTCCTCAATCCCGTGCTCACAGCGCAGCACTCAAGGCTGCAATCAGCCTTCAGCAGGATTGCCTGCACCTAATGCTCCACAAAGGACTGATTACTCAAGAGCTATTTGGAGAATACAAACTGGTCACATCATCCAACGCCCCTCGGCTTCCCCAAAAAGGCCATCAAAAGGGGTCTTTCAAACTGATTCAATTGCAGCAGGCATCAGATTCACCCCACAGCCATTACACAAACGCTGATGACAATTTCTGCTGTGTTTAGAAGAGGCATACCAAGCCAACGGAGACCCGCTTCAGGTTGAGTTGAGACAGCCCGGAGGTTCACCAGTGAGACTTTGCCCCCTTAGGGCCAAGAAACATGCAAGAGGCACGTAAAGGCCCTCCAAATATCAATCTTGCTGTCCTTGTCTATCGGCTGGTCTAATTGAGGCTTCCA